CCTGCCTCTGCCTCCTGAGTGCTGTTACGTTGGTGCTGGGAATTTAACCCTGCTTTTTCTTTAGAAAAAAATATTTAACTTTATTTTATGTGCATTGGTATGAGGTGTCAGGCCTCCTGGAACTGGAGTCATAGACAGTTATGAGTTGCCACATTGGTGCTGGGAATTAACCCTGGTCCTCTGGAAGAGCAGCCAGTGCTCTTAATCTCTGAGCCATCTGTCCAGCCCAAAGCCCTATTTCTTAACCTGTGGGACACCAGTGGGATCCCCTAATCCGGGGAGAGCAACCGTCTGATGGGAGCAGCTGGTAACAGGGCGCATGTGGACAAAGCTGTGAAGCCCACAGACATGTTTGCATCCATGGGAACGTCTGAGAGCCGCTAATACAGAGCCCGTCTATGCTTTGCTTTCAATCCACAGATCCACTGGCCTATGAGCCCAAGGCAGATTTGCCTGTCATCACCATCGACCCAGCCTCCCCACAGTCACCTGAGTCTGTGGACCTGGTGAACGAGGAATTGAAGGGCAAGGTCCTAGGGCTAAACCGGGATCCAACAAGGCTGACTCGGGGGGAGGAAGATGAAGATGAGGATGGTGTCATTATGATGCGGAGCAAGGAGCCCTCATCCCCAGGCACCGATGATGTCTTCACCCCTGCACCAAGTGACAGCCCCAGCTCCCAGAGAATACAGCGCTGCCTCAGTGACCCAGGCCCCCACCCAGAGCCTGGGGAGGGAGAGCCTTTCATCCCCAAAGGGCAGTAGAGCCAGGCCAGTGGGTGTCCCATAGACTCTCCCACAGAGTGGGGGCTGGGAGCTCCCCTTGCCTCCTGACCTGGATTGGTCCTGCCCCCCCCCCACGCATGGCAGCTGGGTCCACAGCCCCCACTGCAGCACGGCTTGCCCCTGCCTCCTGGGAAGTGTCCTCTCCCACCAGAACTGCCTTCCCAATTCATTTGGCAGAACAGCTGGGCTGGTGAGGCAGGCCCTGCCCCATCTCTAGATCCAGGCTCTCTTGTACTGGAACCAGGGCTCCATGAGGCCCTCCCTTCCTGCAGCCCCCTACTCATCCAGACCAATTTTCCATCTTTGATCATCATTTTTAACCAAAGAGCCACTGGCTCCACTGCGGTCCTACCAGGAAAGGAGGGAGCTGAACCTTCCTTGGCCTCGACTGGGCCCTCCTGTATCAGAGGACAGCAGGCATGTGGCTGGGAGACAGATGGGTGACCATGGCAGACCCATGCTACTCCTGCCAGCCATGGCACCCTCGCTCAGAGCTGCAAGCTAAGGGCACCTCTGAGCTCCTCTGCCGGCAACTGGGGCTTTGAACAGTCATGTGACTTGGGTGATGAGGACCACTGGGCCTTTCTGGGGCTGCTGCGTGGGAGGGACCGTCCAAGGCTCCAGGAAGTGCTGCCTTGTTACATTTTGTTTATTCGCACCTCCACATAAGTAAGTACGACCCTGTTTGCACAGAGGCACCCCTGTTTGTAGAACCTCTGAGACCCCTCACACCAGCCAGAGCTCCACCCCCTACCCCTCCTCCTTCCTTCCTTCCTGTTGTCTAACCCTACACCTAAATCAAACCTCTGCCTGCTGGGCTTCTTTGCCCACGGGACTGATTGAGACATGGCCCAACCTGTGATTCAAGCTCATGAGCAAGGTGCCTTGCTCTTGGGCCTGCCTTTCCTTGTGTTGGCCTGTTCTCCCACCACCCCTCATCCAGACCACTTTTGCCTGCATACCCAGCTTGCAGTGAAGCCCAGGCCTGGGGGATAGGCATCCCCTGAGGGTCTCCTGTCCTGGCCAGGGCTGCTGGAGTAGACAGAGTACAGAGACCTTTGCTCACAGGCACATACTCCCTTCCGCCACGTGACTGAGCCCAAGCCCATGGTGTCTGTCCAACCCCCAAGCACTGCCTTCCCAGGATCGTGCAATAGTCAGAGTGGTCCCTCCCAGGGGATGGGGCCATGGGTGCTTGGCCCAGCTGTCTCCTCTCCATGCAAGTGCTGTTTTGGGCAGGAGTTGCCATGCAAGGTGACATCGACAACCATGTACAAAGCCACCGCAGTTGCTGCCGCTCTGCCGCCTGTACGAAAGAAACTGAACCTTTTTCATATTCTAATAAATCAATGTGAGTTTTTTATAAGAGTCCAGGGCTGCTTCCTGGGAAGGAGGTCACCAGAGGAACTAGGCTCAAAGACTGGCACAGAAACACTGTCCCGTCAGCTGCTGGTGTGCTTGGTACCACGGTGTGCCGGGTGATGGAGTGTGATGGGTTAGAATGTCTGCACTCAAGGCCTCAGCTTGGTGCTCACTCAGCTGGAAAACCCTGGTCTGTGAGTGGTGAGCATAGTCCGCAGGGTGTTATCAGGAAGTCTCCTGACTGGTACCCCAGACGTACCCCTGAAGAGGCCAGTGGGAGACATGCAGGCCTGAGGGAGGCCAGTATGGGCCGTTACTCCTTTGGAATTCCTCCGACTCTCCTGAGTTCTTTCTCACTTTTCCTTAATAAGTCTGTTTTCTCTGTTTGATAAAAGCAGTGTGGCTGACCCGGGGCAACAGAGGGGAAGGGTGGGACCTTGTAGTTGGGATTTAAAGGTGGTACAAAGCCTCTGAAGCCCTGTGTTCTCACTGGGAAGTAGGGACTGTACCCTGTTGGAATAGGGTTTGTGTGTAATGCAGGTGGGAGCTGAGCTGCATTTCCAGTAGCTGACCACCAGAGGGCAGTAAGGTCTCAGCACGGAGGAACCTATACTGTCCAAGAGGCTCTGCCCAGCCTGGGACCTGGATTCAGAGCTGACTTTACTGAGGATGTCTGAAGTGGGCTATGGCTAAAGGATTATAAGAAAGGACCACACTGCATTTCTGTATTGATGTCCCAGCAGGAAACAGCTGGAACACTCAGAAGGTGCTGGCAGCGTTATGAATACCCACCAGGAATGAGGCCCACGAGATCTCACTTCAGGAAAGCATGAACCGTCCACCCCCTACCACCACCCCGATTCTGCCCAGAGCACAGGACTCTGCCTGATCCCAGGAGGGGGCAGAAGTAGGAGGGTTCCTTGAGGCCAACCTGGGGCTCCATGGCCACACTTTGTCCCAAGGATAGCAACAACAGTAAAAGGTTCTAGAGCTGTGGTTCTGGAAAGTGCTGTCCAGTCATGCTGTGTCCACAAATAACAGATCAGAATTTCCACTTGGGTTCTCCCAACTGGAATGGCTCAGTGGTTAACAACTCAACTCCAATTCCAGAGGGTTCAACGCCCTCTGGCCACTGCACACATAAACTCATACTTGCATACACATATATATAAATAAAAAATAAATCTCCTGGGTGATGGTGGCACACACCTTTAGTTCCAGCCCTCAGGAGTCAGGAGCAGGCAAATTTCTGTGAATTTGAGGCCAGCCTGGTCTACAGAGAGAATTCCAGGAAAGCCAAGGCTACACAGAGAAACTTTGTCTTAAAAAAGCAACAGCAATAATAAAGATTTTCATGTAAGTTTTTCTTTAATGGAAGGGGAGGAAACACCCTTATCCTTAACACGGGAAACAAAATCTTAGCAGCACTGTATCCCTGTCATCTTTCAGTTCTACTCAGGGATTAATTTGCAACATTAATCATCACAAATTGAGTAAGGTTGCTCACACCTGTAATCCCAATAATCCCAGTACTCAAGAGGCTGAGGCAGGAGGATTGCTACAAGTTTGAGGCAGCCTAAACTACAGAGGGAAGCACTAAAATAATTGGCTGAAAATACTGCTCATTGGTTAAAGTGCTTGTGAGACTTTAACCAAGTTTAGACCCCCAGTATACATGTCAAAAGTCATCTTGGGGAGCTGGAGAGATGGCTCAGAGGTTAAGAGCACTGGCTGCTCTTTCAGAGGTCCTGAGTTCAATTCCCAGCAACCACATGGTGGCTCTGTACATCCATCTGTAATAAGATCTGGTGCCCTCTTCTGGCCTGCAAGCATACATGCAGGCAGAATGTTGTATACATAATAAACAAACAAACAAATAAGTAAATAAATAAATAAAATCTTTAAAAAAAAAAAAAAGGCTGTGCAGACAATCCTAGCACTGGGGAGGCCAGGCTGGGGTGGGGGTGAGAGGATCCCTGGACCCGGATGGCCACCACTGATGTGCTTCAGGGTTAGAGAGAGAGAAAGACCCTGTCTCAAAATTAAAGTGGAGAGGGATTGAGAAAGACTCACAAAGAACTTTTAAAACTGTAGGCTGGGGCTGGAGAGATGGCTCAGAGGTTAAGAGCACTGACTGCTCTTCCAGAGGCCCTGGGTTCAATTCCCAGCAACCACATGGTGTCTCACAACCATCTGTAATGAGATTCAGTGCCCTCTTCTGGTGTGTAGGCACAAATGCCAGAATACTGTATACATAATAAATAAAATCTTTTTTTAAAAAAAATAGTGCAGATGGTGTATACCAAATGGCCGTAGGTGGACAACGAGAGACATTCTGTAGAATCCAGAAATGACAGTATTGGCAGAAGCAACCAGGTGGGAATGGAAGTTGGGGTCTTTAGTATGCACTTAGACCCCTGAGGCGAAAAATGCTCCTTCACAAAGAAAGGGGTGTCAAACTCCCAACAGGAAGGAGCTGCTACTCCCTGGGCGATGGTCCTCAAACTAGGAGCGCTCTCCTCAGCCCCTGATCTCCCTATTTCTAAAGCCTTCTAATTCTGCAATACTGGTGGTGTTCAGATGTCCTAGAGGAGAGCTGCTGAGCTGCTGTGATCTCAACACGGGGAGGTGGAGACAATCAAGCCAAACAGGATGCTACTAAAAGGTGATAAAAATAAATTAGGTAGGTAGGTAGGTAGATAGATAGATAGATAGATAGATAGCATACCTATCTGTGCCTTTTCCTTCAAATTAATGGAACGGCAGCAACTCAGGTGTGAATTGCTATAGCAGCA